TTTTGGATCCGTGACTTCCAGAAAATCAAGTCTCTATTATGTCAAGCCACCAGGGTTGTGGTACTCTGTTAGAGCTGCCACGGAAAACTAACTGGGGGTCATGAAGGAATCACTGTGTGTCATCACATGGGTACCAATTATGAAGAAAAGTGATGACACTGGTTTTCCTCAAAAGGTTTTAGCACCTAAATATCGCAGAATGGCAGCTCTAATGTGGAAGGCTTGGCTCCTGTTCTTCCTCCTGCCCTTTCCAAAGCTTAAGAAGAAAGGAGCATCATTTCCTGAGATTTCTATAGCAACTCCCTTGGGATTTTCAACCTGAGCAGAGACTATCCTGAAGGAACCCGGATGTTGGAGATCCAGCCCTGGAGCTCAGCAGATATCTAGAAGGAGCAGCCAGTAGCATCAGCCATCTTACCCAAGCCCTAGCGATGGATTTGAACCTCTAACTGGACTGATCAGTCCTTTGGACCATCTTCCTCACAGGCCGTGTAACTGAGTTATTCATTTACCCCATCTGCATTTACCTGAAATGATTTTAGAGTTCAGCTGCCACTTTCCAACCTGAATTAAGAGGCTGTGTATGTGGGCTGATGGCATTCATTAGACAAATTGTAACAAAAACAGGAAATTAGAAACAGTTTTAATTCCTCTTGGGATCTCTGAAAACAACAATTGTGATTCCAGAGAGCAGAGATGCAAATTGCTTACAAATTTAGTTTGCCAAATAGGCCTTGTTGTTTGGAGTGTCTGGCCGTGTTTACCATCTGGTGAGAGATGCAGGCATTACAATCAAAAGTCCACACATCAGACTTTAAAATGGTTAAAATGGTGAACAGTATGTACATTTTATCCACAGTTTTTTAAAAGCCATTCTACACAGTGCCTACAATCCAAAGATCAAACTCTTCATATATTTTTTTCTCTTGCTTTTCCAGAAAATGTAATCTGTGTCTCAGTAATAACATGATTCTAATTCCTGAATCAGGATTGGGGGTTTTTTTGTTGTTGTTGTTGTTTTTGGAAGCCTCATAAACTGATCTATTTTGTGTAGTGTGGATTTTAACAAGTTCAGCTCTAAGTGAGCCAGCCTGCACAGTTAGGATATGTAATTAGTTTCCCATTGGGCCAAGTGGTTGTAACATGAGTCGGTGAACAGAATTGGTTCAGCGTGCGAGATGAGTGGCAAGCGTCCAATGTCTCAAGACTTGTTGCATTCCTGTTTTTCTTTGCCAAACCCCAGAAAATGCCCAGGCTCCCTTATTCCCACATTTTCTCAATAGGTCCCAGCCTCCTATTGAGTCAGCAGGTCAGATGGGTGCCCTCCGGGGGTGTGTGTGCATGTAGTTCTCAGCATGCGCGTGCTTTTTCTTGCATGAATATGGTGTCTTTGGGGGCGTGGGGGCGTGGGGGTGGGGGCAGCTTGTTCATTTAGAGGATTCGAATTCTGTACATTTCATACTGGCTATTCCTACATGACATAGAGCTTGGCCATCAACGGAGGCCTGAAGTTCAAGACCAGAATCAAAGACTAACATAGAAACTCCAACCAGAAGTCCACTAAGAGGGTCAGGAGGTGGGGAGGGCATTTTTAAAACACTTGTATGGTAAAACAATTCCAAAATTCTTCGCCTCTGCCTACACCTGAGAAGGTCTACTGAACAATTTCCAGATATCAGAGCATACGTTCATTTCTGTTTGCTGGGAAGTACAAAGGGAAACTTGGTTCTAGAAGGTCCTCCGGTGAGGGTGAGGACTTAGGAGACTGCTAAGAAGGATGAGCATCCAGGAAGAGCCCCGTAGAGCTTGGGCCTCAGAAGGGAGTGATAGGACAGCTCTGTTATGAAGCCTTGAACATTGAGCAATGTCTGTACTGGGGCAGGCGTGTCCTGGCATATCTCCTTGTGGGTCACACACTGTGCGGCATGAATTTATACCCCACATAGGCAATGTCCTCTCCAAGTTCAGAGAATCATAGCTGTAGCCAGAACTTACTTACCAAGTTATCAGATAAAGTAACGTTAATGGCTGTTATTTCCATGAGTGCTTCCAGTGTGTCAAATGGCATGCTCCCTGCTTTATGTATCAATTAAACTTCCAGGAGCCCTAGTGGCTCTGGTATCATCATCTTTTTTGGAGGGGAGTTGCAGGGTACCAAGGCTGGAGGGTGAAGTAATTTTCCCAAAAGCATCCAGCTTGTAAATGAGGGACCTGGGGTTTGAAGTCAGTTGTAGCTGTGCCCACCTTAGAGACCATCCTTGGTACTCTGACAAAGTAAGGAAAGAAGTCGTCAGACAAAAAAAAATATATATATATATATATATATGATATGTATCTGATCTGATCGCCTTTTGTCCCCACCAGGAATATACATTTTAAAGCTCCCTGCTATTCAAAAGTTCCTTTCATAGGACTTTTGAAAAGGGGACAAATGTGCTTTCCTGGGTTCAGAGGAGAATCCTGTCTTGGGTGTGGGTGGGAATGAGAAGGCTGTCAGGGCAGTGAACAGCTGTCAGTCCCCCTAAGGTCACACAGTAAGCTGAGGCATTGTCCCCTGGTGCCATGCACACGGCCCTCTTCAGGAGAAAGTTCAAAGCAAGGGTTCTGCATTTTGATCTTTGAAAAGGTTAGGAAGCTGGCACAAGCCAGCAGGGTTTTGACATTTACTTTCCTATTGGGGCATAACCATATATAGTAAAATGTACTGTCTTTGTCAGTGCAGGCTGCTGTAACAAGAGTGCCAGAGACCAGGCTACTTAAATAGCAAGTCTAAGATCAAGGGCCGACAGATCAGAGGTCTGGTTTGCAGATGGCCATCTCCATGTCATGTCCTCATGTGACAGAGCAGAAAGAGGGAGCAAACTTTCCTGATTTGAGTACACAAATTCCACTAGGAAGTCTCCACTGTTGGGACTAAACCATGGCCCAAAGGCCCCTCCTCTTAATACCGTCCCATGGGGGGTGGGATCTCAAAGCATAGATTTTGTAGGGACACAAACATACGAGTACATAGAAGATCATAAGTGTACGGAGAAGATCATAAGTGTTAACAAATATGTGCATCTGGGTGGTCAACAAGCCAATCAGGTTGCAGACCTTGACTTTCACCCCTCCTGGTCCATGTCCACCCCCTATGGTTGGTTTGGCATTTGCCCTAGATGCCTCACATACCTCACCCTAGTCCCAGCCCTGTTCACTAAGGTGGCCTGTTTATAGAGGCTCTAAAACAGGTTTGTTCCATATGTAGAAAATGGCCTGGCCTGGCCTGGCTTGGCCCGGGGTTGGCTCAGACTCCACGATTCATACACTCGCAGGATTTGCTGAACATGAATGAACTTCAGTGAACATCAGACTGGAGTCACTTCTAGTTCCCTTTACATAAACCACCCCTGGCCCATACATCTAGAAACTACGTCAAGTAGATCCCTCCCACTCTTGCTTGCATTCCAAACCTACCCATAGATAGGCACAGGCTTACCAAACACAGTTCTTCAACTCGGTGAGTGGGTGGGTGCTCTAATCTGTCATGAATCCTCATTATTAGTGGGAACTCTAATTGTACTCTTGGTGTATCCTATAATTAAAGGATCCTAGAGTCGTGATGATTGTTTTGTAAAGTTTAAGATAATTTGTACACAGCAAAACATACTTAACTCAAAATTTAGGATGAACGTGTAATTACATCCTCCCTCAGTGGTTCCACAGGGAATTGAGAGTCCTCCAGAAGCATCATCAGAGTTTAATTCAAGTGGAATTTCTAATTAGCCAACCAGTAGAATTTCAGCTAATGGAATAGCGATGTGGTCTTCTCATATTTGTATGGTCATGCTCAAGATGTTTATAATTCCAGGAAGGAAAACAATATTGAAGGCTTATCAAAAAAAAAAAAAAAACTGAGCATGGTTTATAAAAGAATTCAAGTTCGAGAGTATACCCTTATGGGGAGAGGTAAGAGGATGGACTTTGGAATCAGCCATACCTGGTTCAGACCAAGGCTTGGTTATCTACCAACTGTGTGATCTTGAGCAGGGTACTGACCAACCTGAGCCTCAGTTTCCTCATCTGTGAAATGGGGCTAAGAATGGCATACACTGCATATGTTTGTTGTGTGAATTAGATGAAAATGCACATGAAGGGCCTCACAGAGCCTGGCATGAGCTAGTCCATATATAGCAGCATTTCAAAAATGAGCCTTAGAGTCATTTGTAACTTGTATGGCCTCACCAACCAAATGAGACCATTGGAGGGCCTGCTGTTTGGGTCATCTGTCCTCAGCCAGGGGTGTCTCATGGGGTCTTGAGGATGATGGTGACAGCCAGACAGTGGTCTTGGCTCTGGGTTCCCAACCAGAGCAGCTTTACTCTGCCTGTTTCACAGATGAGCTTGTATGGCATTTTCCCTTTGGACTGTGTCCTTGAAAGTTGTGAAATCACTAATTTAAACCAACCCCCTAACATTTCATAGAATAAGAAACTAAGACGCAAATGGCCCGAGCTGTTTTCCCAGGCACTCAGAAGCTGCCTCCTGCCTCCCGGGCCTGCCCATTCCCAGGACCCCGTGGTGTCCTAGAAGAAAACAACCAACAGTAGAAGACGATGCTGAATTAGCTTCTCAGCTTTCACATGGTTCTTTCAGATGATTTCTAGTACCCAAAAGCCTCTAGAGAAAGAAAATAAGCCATTTTACCCTGTCCCACGGCTCCATTTGGCAAAGTCCTGGTTTCTGTGTGGACAGTTGTGGGTAACGTGAGTCCCCATGAAACAGATTATTTGCTCGGAAGCCCTTTTCCCTCTCTAGCGTGGGAACAGCTGGTCTATCTAGTGGCCTTTGAACATCACTGACCACACCTCTCTCCTTGTCCAACATCTTCAAATGTACTCATGGGGTCCCCAGTGAGAGCCCCGATGAGGCCAGGTCCCCAACGTCTCCTGCCAGGACTCGGGTCAGGACCCGGATGTTCAGTGCTTGGTCTCTTACTTTGCCCCACCTCTGTTTTCCAGCCCCTCAACATCGCCTACAGCCACATCTACAGCTCTTATAGGAACTTCGTGGGGCCTCCTCACTTCAAGACCATCTGTAGACTCCTGGGTTACCAGGGCATCGCCGTGGTTATGGAGGAACTGCTGAAAATCGTCAAGAGTTTGGTAAGGAGAAGACTCGGGGCAGGTTGGGATGTGCCCAAGTGGGAGGGATAAGATCAAGACTTGGTTTCTTTTTTGATCTGTTCTGTAAAAAGAAGTCCTAGTTGCTCCACTTTTCCCTTGGCCCTCATCTCCTGGTGACTCCTAAAAGCACATTTCTAAGCAGCTTTTGACTTATGGATTTACCTCCCTGTTTCAGGCCCTGAATTCATTTCTTGTTTGGATGAGTCAATTTAGCGGTCCTCATTTTGACCTTCATGGCCTGCTAATGGCTGCTCATGCTAGCCAGCTGTGCTGTGCTAAGTTAATCTGAGCATGGCCAATCCGTGACACATGTGCTGCCTTTTCCCACTCCTATGCCTATGACAGACATCTCTAATCAATCACCATACTTTGTCCCCTTGAGGTTTTCTTTTTTGTGGGAGGGGTGGTACTGGGGATTAAACTCAGAGGCACTCAACCACATCCCCAGCCCTGTTTTCTATTGTATTTAGAGACAGGATCTCACTGAGTTGCTTAGCACCTCACTTTTGCTGAGGCTGGCTTTGAACTCGCCATCCTCCTGCCTCAGCCTCCGGAGCAGCTGGGATTACAAGCAGGCCCCACCGTGCTCAGCTCCCTGGGCATTTTTTTCTGAGCACTTTTATCAATACTGCACTATCTTCAAGGGATTTCTGTGTCCCTTTCCCACCATTCTGTATTTGCCCCAAGTAGGGTATCTATACCTTCATTCATTGCAAGACCAGAACATGCAAACAAGACTTTCTTAAAAATATTAGATGACAAAATAGAAAGTAGCGTATAACCAACCAGGTCAGGAACAGCAAGCAGGATTCACCTGCTAGCTCTCCTTGGCAGCAGCTGTGGGTTGTTAAAGACTGGGCTGCTAAATGCAGAGTCAAACAGGAAAACAAGGTAATTGCTTAAAGATGTCTGCCCTGGACGTGGGAGGAATGAACGTGCCATGAATTTTCCATGCTTAAATTAGATAATGTGTCCTAATCGCCACAGTTCCCTGCCCACATTTCATTTTAGCTCTTCATCTGGATTTCATAAACATTTCCAACCCTAGGAAGGACCCCATGCCTAGAAATGTGTCCTCTTTCAAGTCTGTAAGCCCATGAGAGGAAGGAGAGCTCCTTTCTGACTTACAGAGGATCATAAGGCTGTCCCCACACTTCAGTGCCCTACAGACCTCTGCACAACCTTTGTGTGCCCCAGTAGCCTGGCCCTGAGGCCAGCCGTGCCCACAGCAGCAGTGGACTAGCTCACCCACCTGTACTCTTCTTCTGCAGCTCCAAGGAACCATTCTCCAGTATGTGAAGACCCTGATCGAGGTGATGCCCAAGATATGCCGCCTGCCCCGGCACGAGTACGGCTCCCCAGGTTGGTGATGGGAAGATAATGGAAACCGCCCCATGTTGGGGTGGGAGCTGTGACCATCCCCCTGGGACTCTGCATCTCTAACCTGCCCGGGAACCCAGGATCTTTGCATCCTAGCACAGCCCCCAGCCAGGCAGCCTTGAACCTGTCTTAATCTCCCTTGGTGGAGGTAAATGATGTCTGCTGGGCCTGCCTCACAACACCACTGTCCAGTGAGAGCATTTAAATATGAATAGCCAAGGCTTCCTAAGGGCGATCATGGTCTGGAGCTCTGTCTCTCTCAGAGACTTTCTGTGTGGAGATGGCTAGTGCCCTGATGGTGGTGCAGGTGACATATCTTGGGCGAGTTACAAACATATTTTTTTTTGCCTTTCGACCTGGGGACTGGAGAATGGGGGGTAATGGAGACTGAATTTAGTTTCAAAAAAAAAAATCAACATGTCCAGTACTGGGTAATGTGATTCACAATAGGAAAGGGATAAAGCCAAAAGCTCTAATGTCCAATCCCAGCTACCACACTGACTTGCTGTGTGATTGTGGGTATGTTATTTACCTTCTCTGAAAACAGGTAACAGTGCCTAGCTAATGGTATTGTTATGAGTAGTAAATGAGATATTGCAAAAGAAAATGTGGTGTGTATACACAGTGGAGTTTTACTCAGCCACAAAGAATGAAATGATGTCATTTGCTTGTCAATGGATAGAACTGGAGAACATCAGGCTAAGTGGAATAACTCAAAGTCAAAGGTCGAATGTTTTCTCTCATGAGGGTGGGGGAGAAAGGGAATTAAAAAAAGGGATCTCACGAAAATAAAAGGGAGACCAATAGAATATAGCAAGGAGGTCAAGAAGGAGGGAGGAAAGGGGGGCTGTGGAAGTGCTGGGAAATCAAGTCTCCCAATGAATCCTGCTCAGATATATCATTATAATGCACTAATTAAAATGAGAAGTACTCTTATTAAGGAGTAGTAATGTAGCTTAAAATCTGGAAAAAAAAAACTAGATGGGATTGCAGATAACATGCCTACCACAATATCTAATGCCTATAAATACTAGTTGGTGTCATTATTAAGAAGTCAGGCAAATTTTTGGAGACAAATAGATCAGAAGACCTGTTCCATTTGTGTTCGTGTTTTATTTTGTTCCAGCTTCCCGAGCTTTTTCAAATACTGAACCCCACAAGAAATCCCACCTTGCGCCCTCACTTAGGGGTCCCATGGCTTGAGCTTGTGTTATCCGAGAGTCAGGTCTGGGGCTACTGCTCAGTCAGTGCTTCCCGTAAACCTGGCTGCACAGGGTCAGCTTCCCACCGACCGTTCTGTTCATCTCCCAGGGATCCTGGAGTTCTTCCACCACCAGCTGAAGGACATCATCGAGTACGCAGAGCTCAAAACAGACGTGTTCCAGAGCCTGAGGGAGGTGGGCAATGCCATCCTGTTCTGCCTCCTCATAGAGCAAGCGCTGGTAAGTCCCAAGCCCAAAGCAATCATGGCGGCTCCAGGCTAGAAGGGACAACGCCGCGACCAGATGCTGAAGTATGTGTAGGCGCTTTCGTTTCACGTTCAGGCGACTATGACCATCAGAAAGCTGCATGGAGTAGTGGCCCTGAAATTAGACCTGAGCTCTTCCCCTCACCAGCTGCCCCTGGGCCTCTGGGCACCCTCCAAATCTTGGTTTTCCGTCCACCATGGGCCAGTGCTATGCTGAGAGGTAGCCAGTCCCCGTCCCCCACCCCCTATGGGTTGACATAGAAATGATGTGTTCACAATCATGAGTGCCATGAGGGATGAGCACAGGGCCCAGAGGGGACATAAAACAGAGCCTGAAGTAGTCTTGGGGCCGAGGAAGGACTTTCCTGGGCAGGCCTCCTGGAAAATGCAAAGGAATTTTCCTGGGGCGCTTTTCCATTCTGAGAGGACAGGATGCTGCGTTATCTTCATTTTTGCTATGGGTGACATGATTTTTCCCTGCAGGGTTATCTAAAGGCTAAGGAGAGATAATGCTCATAGAATGCATGCAGTAAGAATGGAATAATCGGTAGCAGTGCTGTTTGTCTGAACTCCCAGCCCTAATCTGTGAATGGGATTTATCTTATCAAGAGCTGTGTCTTCCACATTCTTCCCCAATGCTGTCTGTTCTCCATGTGGGGTGGGCCCAGTCCTCCAGGAGAGGGGGAACTGGTCAGCCCTGAGCAGTGGGAGGATATGGAGGATGTGGCTGTGGGGATGCACCGGGGAGCTCTGAGGATCCCTTCATCAGTGCATTCAGCATCAGATGTGAGAGCTAGCTTCCTGCCAGGTGCAGTTCTAGGGTATGGAGGGTGGCCGTGAATAAGAGACAAAGTATTCCCACCTTTGTTCTGAAGACAAAGTCATCCACAGACACTGGCACTCGCTGTGAAGGAACCGCAGGGTAGCAGGATCAGGATTGATGGCAGTGTCGGGAGGGATATTCTAATTTTGGAGAAAATGGAGCTTGATATCTGTAGGGAACAGAGAGGACCCGAGAGTGAGCTGGAATGCAGAGGCAGAGGGGACAGAGATAGGAGCTGAGCAGAGGGGCTCCTCTCCTGGCCACCACAGAAAGCTGAGAGAGGCCTGGAGCAGGGAGAAGATCCGACTCTCAAAGGCGCTGTTGGGGGAGAACTAACTGGACAGCAGGGGAAGGACAAGACAGCTTGCAGTCCAGTGGTCATCATGGAGGCAGCAAGCCCACGGACAAGAGGGACAGGGGAAGGAGGGAGACAGGAACAAAGGTAGAAAGATGCAGACAGAGAGCACGAGAGCGCTCCTGGCCTCCTAGTCTGGGTGACGCAGGTGAGCCTGTGTACCCCGTCCCTCCATGTCCTCATCTTCAATCAAGGGTCTTGTGCCGGCTGTTCCCTCCAACCCTGAGGCTCTGAAATGGGGACTGTTGCTCTTCCTCTGTGAGGAATAATTGCTCCTCTGTTGCCCCTTTAAATGGACTCTGGAGAGGGCTAATTGCTTCTCTTTAAATAACAGGTTGTTAGCATGGTTCAGTGGGCCTGGGTTGCTATGGCAACCAAGCCTTCAGAAGTCACAGGGATGAGAAGGGAAAACACAGCTCAAGGCCTATGGGGTACCAGGAGATGTGGAGGTGGGGAGGGTGGGTCAGCTCCTCCTTTCAGGAAGAACATCAATTCACACCAGGATGCAGGCAAATAATGGGGGCTGCAAGGAAAGGAAAATATTTCTCAGCTTACCCCCTCCCTGTCTGGGTGGTCACTTGCATGTATTAGCAAGGAGAGCAAGACACTCAGGAGCAAAGACTTTCCCAGTGGAAAGGGACCTCAGCAGCACAGATGCACCTAGCCCCTGTGGAGAACCCGAGAGGGAAGCAGTTCACCTGAGTCACAGGATGCAGCAGCAGATCTCTCTCTCTCTCTCTCTCTTCCAATGCGATCCCAGCCTAGACGGCTGGGTGGGGTGGGGTGACCAGGACAGGAATCAGGGCTCACCAAAGCTGTGTTCCCCTGGCTGCATTGAAAGTTGGGGAAATCATCAAGCAAAGGCTGGGCTTTCTGATAGTAAAATGGGGCCTGAACATTCTGGAACTTGTTAGTATAGGAAACCAGAATTAAATATTGATGTGACATCAATTGTTCTTATTAAATAGAATAGTAAAACAATTCAGAAAGACTGATGGCCATCCATAGAGGATTAGCTGTATGAACAGTGTAACGTCCATACTTCTGGAAGACTCTGAAGCAGTTAAAAAGAGTAAAGTGAGCTGGCCATGGTGGCACATACCTGTAATCTCAGTGGCTCGGGAGGCTGAGGCAGGAGGATCATGAGTTCAAAGCCAGCCTCAGCAATTTAGTGAGGCTCTAAGCAACTTAGTGAAACCCTGTCTCAAAAGAAAAATGGTTGGAGATGTGGCTCAGTGGATAAGCACCTCTGGGTTCAATCCCAAGTACAGGAAAAAAAAGTAAAGCGATATAGCTTTCCACATATCAGCATAAGAAATGTGGAGAGGAAAACCAGCAAGTTCCTAGACAAGCCACATTGTGACATCATGTATAGAAGATGAAACCCACAAAATAACACCACACCAAGAAGAAATGTGGGGAATACATACTCATTTTCTCTACAGGTCAGGGAGGAAACCAGGGTTAGAGGTCAACAGGGGCTTTACCCTTATCTGAAATGTCTTCATTTCCAACAAGGAAAGTATGTTCATGTACTCTTCACCTAAAATTAATTTTAAAATAATAACATGTACTAGCTCTAGAAGAATGAGGGTACTGAAAAGTACAAAAAGGTAAGTGAGAAGGCTTTTGTCCGTTTTTCTATTGTGACATCTGCCTTTGTGTAATTTTTTCTTCTTTCACTATTCTCTTGTGGATTCCATATTGGTCATATGCTAAAATACCTTCTTGCCTTTTATAAGAGACATTAATATAACTTTAATATGTAGACAGAGGAAATAGAAATTTAAAAGACTACTTAGACAAATATTTTCTTCATTAATATATACTGAATTTTGAGAAACAAATACATATCTTAGAGAAAATTTTTTGGTGTTTTTAAAGTGTAACATACAAAGGCATAAAGTTTCAAGTGAATAGCTGGATCAAGGGACATGCCCAGGTAATACCCACCAGGTCTATAAACAAAACACTTGCACTGTTGTAGATAGTTCCTTTAGGGCATCATAAGTGCCCCCAAAGAAATGATTCTAATATCCCAAAAATGAGTTGTCTGTCCTTCACATGTAACTTCTTATGAATGGACTCATATCCAGTATGATTCCCTTTCCTGTCTGACCTCTGTTGTTCAACATCATGTCTGTGCAGTTCAAGTTGTGGATGGTTCTCTTTTCATGACTGAGTATTCTCATTGCATGAATATACTAATTGAACTATCCATTTTATTGTGGATGAACATTCGTGTTGTTTAGTTTTGTATTCTTATGACTATTCTTGTAGCTATCTTTTGGTGAATACATGTTATTTTTATTAGGTAAACTTGATTAGCTCCAGTAAGTACTACACCAAGCAACTTTACACATTCATTTTATCAATTTATACTCCCATTCCAAAATTTCTTCACATCCTCATGAACTGAATTTGTCCACCTTTTTAATCCTAGCCATTTTGGTGGGTGAATCTTGATCTCATTACATTTTTTATTTCTTTAGTGATTCTGAGCCCCTTCCCACATGTTACGAGCCATTTGGAATCCCTCCTTTGTAAAGTGCCATTCTACATCATTGCCCATTTTTAAATTGTGTTTTCTTTAATGGCTTATAACCATTAGACACTACAGATGCATGTGTTGCAAATGTATCAATGTGGCTTATCTTTTGGTGAAATAGTTCTCAGAGATTAGGGCATCTATCTCTGGTTGGTGCCCTGTGATGCACTTAGAAAATCTTCCTCAAAGTTATGAAGATATGTTGTCTTCTGAAAGTTCTGAGTCTAGTCTTTCAAAGCTGAACAGAACTTGAAGTCTGTTATTCACTTGGAATGGATCTTTGGTCTTAATGGAGGCAGAGATCCAACTTCACTCTTTTCTTGGTGAAAAGCCCCTTTCCCTCCCTCTGTAGGGGTGGTACTAGGCTGATTGTGTATCAAGTTTCCATAAACGGTCTGATCATAGTGGGCTCTTAATAGTTGTGGGATCTAATCTGAAATTAATCAATATTTAAGTATCTGCTTATATGTCTCATGTTTTTAAAGGAAATTGTTATGAACATCAAGGGTTTCTTCTGGCACCTCAGGCTGGGAAATCATAAGGTGGTCATTAGAGGAAAGAGGGAATCACCAAGTTTTCAATTCTATGTCGTTTTCTAATCATCAGCTCACTGTTTATGCCCTCACCTACCAGGAGAGGGCGCTGTTCGTACATGTGAGTGGTAGAAGGCTGAATTTCTGGGAAGCAGACGGCCATTCTTGCATAGTTTCTTGCCCATGTCTTCAGACCCTGTTGCTCATTCCACAGAAACACTCTCAGGAGTCATTTGGGAACACTACTTCCTTTCCAGGAGGTAGGAGAGTCTGCACTGAAGCTCACCAATTCAGACACACACCAGATCTGGGGAAGGTTTCAGATACCTACCCTGGAGGTATCCAACACCAGGGTCAGAGAATCCTTTGTTGTACCGGGTGTCCTGCCTTGAAGGATGTAGAGCAGCATTTCTGACCTCGACCACTAGGTGCCAGTAGCTTCCCCCCTCAGATGTGCTGACCAGCAATGGCTCCAGGTATTGCCTGATATTCCTCTGGAAGACAAAACCTACCACTTACCAAGTGCAACTTGACATCTGGCAGATGGAAAAACTGAAGCCCCAAGAAGGCATCGAGTTTTCCCTAGTCACACCTAGTGCAGGAATTGGGACAAGAAGCCCACTGGAGTATAGAAAGGTGTAGTTGAGCTTCTTAGATGGATTACTTTGGTGCATTGGTCCAGCCCCACATCTGGCCCCCACCCCCATCTCTGACT